CTTTGGCACCTTAGAAACACGCACGGCTGAGGCGTGGGCCGACGCCTCTGCCTCAGGTTTCAGCTGCGGCGGCGGCGGCGGTGGCTGCGGTGGCAGTGTGATCTCCGGGGTGGGGTCCTCCCGCATTGAAGGCAATGATGCCGAGGCCTCCGCCACCACCACAACCTCCTCCTCGGTTGTCAGCGTCGCCGACGCCCTTGCCCCGCCGCTTCGCCGCGACTTCTTGGCACTCAGCCCATTTTCTTCCTCTACCCCCACACCCGCCCTGTCGGCGCGCTTCCTGCTGTCTTTGTGTTTTTCGTCGGCATGCGAGCTCTTGCTGGCCCGGCCCGCCGCGCGGCACGCGACGACGTCAACGGACTTCGCAAATCGCCGCTCGAGCAACCGGGGGTCGTGCTCTACCTCGATCTCGTCCTGGTCCACCTCGTAGCGTTCGGGGAGGGGGGCGGGGCCGACAAAGCATAGCGGGTGCTGGGCAAAGCAGAGATGGCGCCGGCGATCCGCGCAGGTCACGCGCCCGTCCGCGCTCTGTTCCGCCGCCAGACGGCACATGTTGCACACATCCACGCCGCCGCGGTACTCGCTGTAAAATATGGCAAACGTAATGACACGGTCGCAGCCGTCGCACTGCACGCACTTCACCTTCGGCCCCAGCTGGCGCCGTTTTCCTGTGTACTGCTGGTTGAGCAAGGCATACTTTTCAAAGAGAGTGTGGGCCGTCATTGCCGTAACGGCATAGTGCGTTCCCTTCCTTTTGCGTCCCTTTACTCTTGTTCTTGTTGTTTTTCCCTCCCCACCTCCCCCCTGTCCAGTCGCCGTCGTCGTCGCTGCTGCTGCAGTGGCAAGAGAGCGGGAAAGTGCATGCGCGTGGGGTGGGGAAAGTGGTATCAAATAAGCAAACAAAAACACAAATAAAAGGGAAAAGAATAGAACGGAAAAGGCACGCACCGGGATAAGAAGAGGGAAGCGGAGGAGGGCGCCCCACAGCCGTAACACGTGAGACTTCAAACCACACGCACACAACTGGCACTGAGAGAAACGAAGGAAAAAGGCACTCTGCGTGCATGTGCAACGCGCCTGTGCCTGAGAGAAGGGTCCCTCCCACTCTCAGACACACTCAGAGACGGACAGGCGGGGATGCCATAGGTGGCGTGCCTCTTTTCACATCCGCTAAGAAGCCGGAAGGGGGAGCAGGCACCACACATTCATCGCTCCAGCAAATGCATCACCTCCGCCAGCACCGCCGCATCGCTGCTGTTCAGTTGCTGCTGCTCTTCGGACTGCCGCTGCCGCTGCCACTCGCGCTGCTCCTCCATCTGCGCATGCGCTTGCATCTCCAGCTGCAGCCTTCGGATGCCTTCGCGGCGAAACTCCACCTTTGCCTGCTCCTCTTCCAGCTCCTCCTGCGACCGCGCGTGCTCCGCCACCCGCAGGGCGTGCTCCTCCGCGGCTGCTCTTCTAAGTCGCTGCAGTGTGGCTAGATCGTCCTGCAGCTTCTCTTGCCGCAGGACTCGGTCCTGCAGCTCACGCTCAATCCGGCTCCTAATTCCGATGTCCTGCGGGTCCGGCGCCGCGGGCTGCTGCCGCAGAGTCTCCAGCCGCTGCCGGATGGTGGCCTTGTACTCCCGCACCCAACACAGTTGATCCCGCACCGTCCCGAGCATCCGCTGCTGCTGCTCCAGCACCTCCGCCAGCACCCGCAGGTCCTCCACGGGGGGACCGCTCACATGCGCGTGGGTGTCCGGGGGGCTCTCAGCGTTGATGGGAACCGGCGGAGGACGCACTGCCAAAGAAACCCCCAGCGAGAGCGTCATGCTGCCGACACTGCGCAGCGGCGCGCCCTCCAGTGTCGACTCCACCGGGACGTCAAAGTCGAAGGAATAAATCCCCGTACCGTCGCCTGCGAGTGACTCCGAAGTTGCCGCCGCCGTGATAGTCTTCACGACGGGAGGGGGAACTAAAATGCGGAAGTTGCCGAGCGGCTCCTCAGCGTCGCCAGCGAAGGTTCCAGCAACACCCTCCCGCGCCAGTGCACCGAGCGTGAGTCTGCACGGCGGCAGTGGTGACAGCGACGCCCACGCCGCCACGTCCGTCGCCACGCGTGCCGACGTCACGGAGACTGCCACCGCCGACGCTGCGGTGGCGCCCTCGTCCACGCACGAGAGCTCCACGTAGACTGTGGCTCCCGGCAGGGACGGCGGCACAACCGCCAGGCGCACGACATTCATGTGGACTACGTGCAGAGCCTCCACCACCGCGTGAAACGAGATCTCCCCCATGGCAAAGTGGCCGTCCCGTAGCTGCAACGTCACGACGGTGTCAAAGCTGGCGGCAGCCTCCAGTAGCTGAGGCGTTTGCACGGCACACATCCCCACAAACGCATCCCCATTGTTGCTGTAGCACTCCAGCACAATCTGCGGGTCCGTCGCCGCAAGTACAAAGGTGTGGCGGCACGACCACGACGGGGTGGCGGGAACGGGACTCGGGTCGCAGACAAAGTTAGAGTCGGGGAGGCGGCCGCGGAGGATATATGGCGGCGGATGTCGCGCGGCGTCGATGCTGCACGCGTCAAACTCTGAGAGCCGCACCACAAACCCCCCAGCGAACGACGTCGGCATCGTCCGACTCTAATCACGTTCTCACTCTGCTGTTGCCAAGAAGAAAAAAGGAAAAAGAGGAATAGCACGCCGCAGAAACAGTTCAGCGTACCACCGCAACGGACATCGTCAGGTGGGGCAGGAAGAGACCTCCACCACAGCCGCCTCCAGCTGCGTCGTCAGCCTGACAGTCGTCAGCAGTGCAGGCACACATACATAATATATATATATATATATATATATTATAGAGAGAGAGATAGATAGATATGGAGAGAGAGGCGCAGCGGGCAGCGGTCCAGAAGGGCTCTGCGTGTCCGCAGAGACGCGGCGCATACCCCCGTTTCACACCAGGGTGTGGTGGCGTGGGAATAAACCGAGGCGGCCCACTCACACAGACAGAAAAGGGACGCTGGTGCCGGCGCCACACATGATGAGGGATGCGCACCTCCCCTTGACATCCATCGCCTCCGTCTGAAGCGCCGCGAGGATGTGGCGCAGCTCCTCCGCGCGCCGCTGTGCCGCCTGCAGCTTCGCCCGCATGCCGTCCTCCGCCGCGCGGCACGCCCGGGCGTCCCCGCGCCGGCGCCCCTCCAGGTAAGCGCGCAGCAGCCCGACGTCTGTCTCCGCCGCATTCTGGCGGGCAGTGGTGGCGCGGGCGGTGAGGCATGCTGTGGCCTCCGTCTCGCGCAGCAGGAACTCCCGCTCGCACAGCAGCTGCTCGTACTCCAGCCGTGCCTCCAGCGCCTCCGCCTCCGCTGACATCTCTACCCACCACAAAGAGAGAAAGAGAGACTTCTACCGTGGCGGCGTACGTGGAGAGAACAGCGGAGAAGTGCGGTGCAGGGAGATAAAGAGAGAGACGGATCAGACCCACCCACCCACGCGGATATAATGAACGAGGACGGTTCAGTAACAATAGGAAGAAACAAGCGACCACACACACAAAGCATGCAAAATATAACACGTGACAAACAAATAAAAATAAGGTCGCATGCGATACAAGGGAAAAAAACAAAAAAACAAAAACAAAAACAAAAAAAAATAGGGGGAAATAGAAACGAGGCACGCGTACAAACAGACATACCCCGCACGTATGCAGCAAAAACGGGAAAGTGTCAACGAACGAAAAGCAAACACACAGGAGAAAGGTAGAACGGCAGGTGAGGGGGGAAGGGATATATAGTGCGCAGCCAAGGCCATGGGGACAGCACCCACTGCTTCCTATTTTCTCGTTCCATCAGTCTATATCGCAAGGAAGCCGCACACATTTCCACCCGAAGACCTGCGGCAGGACCACCCGCTAGGCAGCCTGCGACACCCCCTCCCCCTTCCGCACTATCTCTCCCTTGTGTTGCGTGTTCGTTTGCCTACCCCGGGTGTGCGTGTGTATACATGCGTGCATGTGTGTTAGTTTCCTCCTTTTTTTTCCCCCTCCGTCTCCCTTACCTTATTTGGTTTTGCGTTCTGTTTTGATTCATCGGTGTGTGTATATTATATATATATATATATTTCTTCACTATGCTTGTGGCCTGCTCACAGGGCAGGCAGTCAAGGACCGTGCGCCAGTGTGTGCGTGTGGAGACACTATCCATCTCAGCCCTTGTAGTACCGCAGTGGGACGAAGCGCGGCAATGTGAGCTCGCCCGGCACGCGCTTCCCCCGCACGTCCAGCTCCACGTGCTGCCCCACGCGGGCCTTCGCGCGGTCGATGTACCCCATTGCAATGTTGCGCCCGAGCGTGGGAGAAGGCACGCCGCTCGTCACCTCCCCCACCACCGCCTTGTCGTGGAGAATCGGTGTCCCCGTCCGCCCCACCGGGCCCTTCGCAATGGAGATTATCCCCATGCGTATGCGCGGCACGAGCTCCTCCGTGCGTTGCACCAGCGTCTTGAGACGGTCGTGGCCAATAAAGCCGCCCTCCTTCATGCGGCTCTTGGGAATGCTCCACATGAGGCGCGCTTCCACTGGGCTAATCTCTTCTGAGAGCTCCTGCGAGTAAAGGCAAAGGCCGGCCTCGGTGCGCAGGCTGTCGCGCGCCCCCAGCCCCGCGAGCTCCGTAGCGGGGTTCTGCAGCAGCAGCTCCGCAAACTGCACGGCATGCTCGTGGGGAACACTGATGTCAAAGCCGTCTTCGCCAGAGTAGCCGCAGCGCGTCAGGGTGACGTCCATGCCCTGCACACTGATGCTGCGGCGCGTCTGCATGAAGAAAAGCTTCTCCAGTTCCTCCACAAAGGGGGCCATCACGGCAGCCGCGTGCGGCCCCTGCAACGACAACATGGCGCGGTCCAACTCCACGATGGTGGCGTCGCCCTTAAACTCAGCGAGCTGTTCCCTCACGTGCGACATGATCTTCTCCTTGGACCCCGCGTTGACCACGACGAGGAGACGGTCGGTGTACTTCGACACAATGCAGTCGTCCTTCACCCCAGCAGACTCGTTCAGGAAGAGAGTCAGGACGGCGTTCCCGTCCGGCAGCCCCGCCACCGCGCTAGGCGTCAGCCACTGGAAAAACTTGTAGCGGTCCGCCCCCCACACCTCAAAAGAACCCATGTGCGAGACGTCGAAGAGGCTGGCAGCACTGCGGGTGTGCAGGTGCTCGTGTAGAAGCCCACGCGGGTAGTGAATGGGCATGTGGTAGCCCGCAAAGGGAACCATGCGGGCCTTGTGGCTCACGTGGAAGCTGTACAGCGCGGTGTGACGAAGCGGCACCGACATCCCGTCGGGGGAGAAAGTAAGACAGAAAGAGACGCAGCCTGGGGCAAGCTGCACGTGAGAGAAGGGCAAGCAAACAAAGGAGTAACAATAAAGAAACAAAAGGGCCTCCCAGCATCCAGCATGGCGAGAGAATCAATGCAGCCAGGATGCACCACGACCGGTCATGCATAGAAAGACATATATATGATGTACGGTGAGAGAAAAACGAGAGAGAAAACCAAAACAAAAAAAAAAGAGAAAGAGAAAGAGAAAGAGCATGAGACGAGGGAACGCCCCGCCCACTCCACACGCACATACTACACCCTTCTATTCTCTTCTCTTCGTAACTTGAACAACGATACAACCACCACGTCGTGGCGCGGTGCTACAGTCTAGTTGCAAAGCCGTACTTGCCCAGGATGGCTCTCTTGCGTCGCTCCAGTTCCTCTGGAGAGAGCAGCGACGAAGTTGTGCCCGTGGCAGCTGTTCTAGCTGAGGATGCAGCTGACGCCGCCGTTACCATCGCTGCTGCTGCCGCGTCACTGAGGCTACTGTGGCCGTCGTTGTTCCCCTCTACGCCCGGCGTCGTCGTCTTCGCCGTCGTGGCGGCCAGGCCCATAAGGCTCGGCAGTGGGGGGGGCGGCGAACCTCCCATAATCACCGGCGTCGGCGGCGGCGTCGTTGTCACCAGCAGCTTCTCAACATGTTGGATGTACCGGCGGCAAGCGTCCACCTCCACCGCTGCAGACTCACGCAGTGCGTTTACCTCCGCCGTGCGCTGCGCTGCGGCCGCGCGCGCCTCCCGTCCTGCCGCCTCAGCCGCAGCCAGAGACGCCCGCAGAGACGCCACTGCCAGCTCTCGCCGTGCGAGGTCGTGGCGCAGCACCGCCACCTCGCTGCTTAGCTCGCTAAGAGCGGCCTCCAGCGCGTCGCGGGTGCGCTGCGACTCCGTGATGTCCGCCAAAACCCGCTGCAGTGCCTCAGTCGTTGCAGTGGCTGTTGCCGCCGCCCCACTGTGGCTGAGCGCCTGCTGCAGCGCAGCGCAGACAATCTCGCGGACTCGCTCGTTCAGCATCGCCGCGACGGACTCCCGCCGCTGGCAGCGCTCCTCCACCAGGCGCAGCTTCGTGGCCAGGGCAGACTCCCTTGCCTCCTGCCGCAGCTGCAGCTCCTCCTGCCGCGCCTCCGAAGCGCAGGCCTGCTCGTGTGCCGCCGCATCGCAACGCTGCTGCAGGCACAACAACTGCTCATGTAGGCCCTGTTGCTTGTCCTTATACACCAGCAGGGCGTCCGTCGCGGACTGCACGCGGGCCCGCAGGATCTGCACTACAAGCACGAGACGCCGCAGCTCCTGCCGCACCGGAGATTCGACGGGTGTGTGCGCCTCCGCCACCGCACTAGCACGGGCACAAATGGCGTCGCACGTCTCAGCCTCTACTGTACACGACGGGGACTCCAACCCGTCGGCCAACGGCACCGCGTACCAATCCGGGTGCGGCGGCAACTGCTGCTGCCGCAGGAAGTAGTTTGCTTGCCGGAGCCGTTCTATTTGCGTACGGAGGCGCCGTACCTCGTCCTTCACCGAAAGCACCCCACCAGCGTCTGTGCCAAGATACGCCGCCGCCACCACCACTCCCTCGTCTGCATGCGTCTCGCTTTGCTGCTGGGCGCCGCCTTCCGCTTGAGACTGGGCCTGCGACAGCAGCGTCTTTAGCCGCAGGGCCACCGCCTCACGCACCGCCTGCGGCTGCGTCTCTAGCATGGCATCAATCCGATGCAACAACCCGTCCTCGTCCGCCACCGCCCGGGCCCCGGGTGCCGTAGTGCAGATGTGGCAGATCCGCTCTGTTAACGCCACGTGGCGGTCGCGCTGCAGCTGCAAAGCGCTGCGGAGCTGCTGGACCGTGTCGCGCGCCTCCGCCAGCTCCTGTGCATAGGTGTGCACTTTAGCCTCAAGCGCCCTGTAAGCAACAAGCAACGCGACGGACGGGGAGGCATCTGTTGTTGACGCTGCGGCAGTGGCAGGCATGCCGAGCGGTGCCTCTTCCCTCGCGTTGCAAAGAAAGCCGTCGTACGCCTCCCGCACATCGAGCAGGCACTGCCGCACCTCGTGGTCCCGCTCCAGCCGCAGCAGCGCAAGACGGGCCTCGAAGTGCTCCGTCGTCCGCGCCACCTCCCCCACTAGGAGCGCCCGGTGCTGTGCCAACATCAGTTGTGAGGTGACCCGCACATGCTCCAGCTCCTCCCGCAGCCGCGCGTTGGCGAGCCGCAGACCCTGCAGGGTTGGTGCGCCGTCGTTGTCGCGGCCCCAGCGCGCATGCGCCTCCTCGTCGAAGCTGTTCTTAGCGGAAAGAGTTGACAACGCTTCGGGCGGCAGGCAAGTCGTGGTATCGTCATCAGAAGCAACAGCAGCGGTGGCATCAGCGGGAGGAGTAGAGGTGGCCGATGACGATGGTGGGGCCGACTGCGGCGTGGGAAGAGAACGCCCACGCAAAAGTTTCATCGCCGTTCCCGGTGCCTCGTCCCCCGCCCCCGCCGCCTGCGCTGGCTCGTCGCATCTCGCGGGGAGCTTTCCGACGCAGCGCAGGCTCCGTGGCGACTGCAGGAACGCCGCCACGCCGGCGTCAACGGGGTTGGCAAAGTCGACGCAAAACTCCGAGTCCTGAGAGAGGCGGGTAAGGAAGTAGAACAGCACCAGCAGGTTGAAACAGTGCCTGGCGTGGCCAGCCGCCACCGCCTGACGGTCGCACAAGTGCAGCGGCAGTCCGTGACGCTCCATGATGCGCCGCAGAGCCTCCCAGTTCCTCGCCACGTCAACGGGGCCACGCCGTGCAAGTCGAGGATCGACGCTGGTGGGAAACAGGCGGCCCGCCAGTGCCAGCAGCACCACCCCGTCACGCAGGTCGGCGTACTTTTCGCAGGGGCGAATGCCGCTCGCCTCCGCTGCCCAGCGAAGGAGCTCCTTCTTTCCAAGCGGTGTCATCGCCAGAGTCGCGATGGCCCACCCTCGTAACCCTCGCAAAGCACGTGTGCCTGCGGATGTGTATGCGTTTGCGGTAGATATGGCAGAGAGACAAGTGGTAGACCGGGAAAGACACACAGACACAAAGGAGGAGGGAAAGGGACATACACAGAGTACATACGTGCATGCTGCGGCAATGCCCGCCCCCTCGCCAGTTACCTCACGGACGCCGCGCAGGCAAATACATATGTGCTTTCAACAAACCCAAACAATGGAAAAAAATTGTAGTAGTAAAGGCAAGTAGGGTGAGAGGGAAAAAGAAGGGGGGGCAAGTGAGAGGTAGTTACCCTCTCTCGCTGTATCCGCTTGTCCGTCCCTTGTCCCCCACCTCACAAACTACGAGGTGTGAAACGGCTGGTATTGCTTAGCAAACCGAAGCACTATCTCGATGATCTTCTGCATCGCTGCGTTGTACTCCCGCACCACCGCCGCCTCCGCCTCGGTCTCCTTGCGCAGACTGCCATTCTCCCACAGCTGCAGTTTGTTGTTGCCGCGCTCGGCAAAGTGGTAGAGGCCGCAGCCGTGCTTTACGTCGTTCTTGTAAGCACCGACAAAGTACTCCGTCTCCGCACTGTTGAAGTAGTACACACCCACGCCGTTCATCTTGCCGTCGCGCCAGTGGCCCACGTACTTCTTCCCACTCCTGCCAATCACGTAGACACCCCAGCCGCTGTGCCGATTCTGTTCAAACTGGCCTTCGTAGCTGTCGCCCTCGGGATGCACCCAGTGCCCGACGCCGTGCTTCTTGGTGCCGTGGTACTGCCCCGTGTAGGTGGCACCGGAAGGAAACTGGAAGGTGCGCACCTCCGACGGAGGCGGCCGCTCGCCGAGCTCACGCGGTGCCACGCAGCGCACCGCGGCCGTGATTTCCTCCACCTGCAGCTCGCCATTGACCCGCTGCAGCGGCGTGGCCTCCTCCTCGAGCTGCAGCTCCCCATGCGCCCACACCTGGGCCGTGACGATGCCGTTCTCGTAGCAGTACAATCCCCGGCCATGCTTCTTGTCCTGCGCGTAGCCGCCGACGTAGTACGTGCCACGGTCCGGCGTGAAGTAGTACACTCCTTCCCCGTCCATCTCCCCCGCTTTCCAGTGCCCTAGGTAGCACTTGCAGGATGCGTCAAAGCGGTAGATGCCGAGCCCCTCCTGCTTGTTGTCGACGTACTCGCCCTCGTAGGTCTCCCCCTGTGGGTGGTGCCAGCGACCACGCCCGTGCCGTTTCGTGCCGGCAAACATCCCCTCGTACACAGCCCCCGACTTATACGTGTGGGTGGTGGTATGCAGCTGCTCCTGCAGCTCCCGCGGCACCGTCACGGCCGCATCTGCCTCGCACGCCATTGACGCCCGGATGAATGTTTATCTGCAACCAATAAACAAATGCTAAACAATAGCCACTAACCAGCGGGGAGGAAGTGCGCGTCTCTCTCTATCTAGGCGGATGTTGTCTGCTCCTCCCCACCCCTTCCTCCTCTCCTCTAGGCGTATGTATATGTTATGTATATATGTGTGTTGTGTGTGGTTTTCCTCTGTGTCTCGCACGACGCGCTTCTTCTACACAATTGACATCCCGCAGAAGCAAAAAGCAAAAAACAGCGGCGGTGCACAGACACGTGTGGTGGAAAAGGGAAAGAGTTGGGAATAACGTCACGGCCCCGGACCCTCCTCCTCCGCTTCCTCCTTCCACCACCAGCTGGCAGCAAAAAGGAAAAAAGAGGGAGAGGAGGAGAAAGAGCGGGAGAGGGCCCGAGGCACAGCAGACACACGCACACACGTTTTAAAAGAACTCAAAAATAAAAACAAACGGGGTAAACAAACAAGGAAAAAAAAACGATCGGAGCGCCCGCCCGGTCTCCGGGCCCAAACGCACACACACGCATACAAATACCCACGCACACGCGTCTCTCGCTGTGTGTGTGCGCGCGCATTTAATGCGGGCCCCCTGCAGTGCGGGAGAAGGAAAAGCTGTCGTTGTGTCGTTCACGCGCTCCTTCTCTCTTTCCCTCTCTCTCTCTCTACTGGGCGACCTCGCTGGCATCCTTCACGTCATAGGCGCCGGACACGACGAAGCAGTGGGACTGCATGGAGGCCTGAACCTTGGGCTTGTCGAAGAAGTAGACGGAGCCGTCCTGGCGGTAGAAGATCACCTCGTCGATCTCACTGAACGGCGTGACGCCAAGGCGCTTCAGCACCGACTGCACCTTCTTCTCGTCGCCGGTGTTGCGGTGGGCCGCCTTGACAGTGCGGCGAACGGAGCCGCGGCCGCCGGTGCGTACAAACTCGGCGCGTTTGCGGAGGGTCTCTTGCGTGATGCTGGGCATACGGACTCGGGATGAAACTGGCTCACTGATGGGCGCAGGAACGCAGGCGCACGGCAGAAGCGTGTGAGAGGAACAAAAAAAAAGCAAAGAGGGAGACAGAATTGAAAAAAAAAAAGGAGAAAAAAAGAGGCACCATGAAGAGCAGCACACACGCATCCACGCAGAGGCACGGTTATATATATCTGGGTGTCTGCCGCCTTGCCGCCCAGCAGAGAAAGACGTGGAAGAGAGAGAGAGAGAGAGGCTGAGAAAGAAGAAGAGAGGCTGGGAAAGGAGCAAGCTCCCACAGCAGCCCGTGCACGAGGGTCCCTTTCCCTCTGCCAGCCCCTCTTTGTCTTCCACCTCTCTCTCTTTATCTCTCTCCACTGGACGGCAATGCGGCCAACACCCACACGCATAAAAGCACTGCGCCGCCCCATTCGTCGTTGTTGAGGCATTTTTCTTTTATAGAAGGAAAAAACAAAAAAAAAATAATCATAGGAATAATCAACAGAATTCATCGGCTTTTGTTCTCTCTTTCTTTCCCTTCATCCTTCTTTTGGGTTTTGTTACCCGCGGATTTAGTAGATGCGCTGCGGCTTCCCCATCGTGGACTTGATGTACGCCGACTTGAGGTTCTGCCAGTTCTTCTTGAGCAGCGAGACGAGGAAGTTGATCGCCATGACGGTGTTCTGGCGCACCTGGTCCTCCGTCATCTCCACATGCCCAACGCAAGTGCCGAGGCAAAGCACCTTCTTCAGCTGGAACTTCACCGTCGACTGCAGCTCCACCACCTTCTCCGGTAGGCTCTCGCTCATGGCGCAGACGGTGGGGAACTTGCCCATACGATGCATGTGCGGCCCCACGAGACGCGGCACCAGCTTGATGATCGACTCAGAGCAGAGGAATGCGTCGTACTGGTTGCACATCTTCTTCACCAGCTTCTTGTTCTTGTTCAGCTTCTTCAGCTCCTCCTGGTTCATCGTCGGGACGTTATTCTTCTTGGCGACGTCCTCG